TGCCTTGGAGTCTGTTAAGTGATCATTCATGTCCACCAGTGGAGCCAATTATACGTTCTAAACATCCCCACACCGTCCGGCGACCCTCTCCGAGATGACATCCATCTTGCGCACTAACACAGGCAACGCCAAGAGGACATTATCCAGCTTACGGTTCACCTCGAGTAACGTCCCAGTCTGTGAGGTCACCGCACGGGCGGCACATTCCTTGGGTACGGGTCGCACTCCAATCGCTCCCGTCTTCCCAAATTTCTAGAAAACCAGATATCCTCCCACTCCAATCAGAAGAAATCCAGTGATCATCAGGCCGAATATCCACAAATCTTCCACGTCCTCGATGGACAACTGAGAGAGGCACACGATTCGCCAGACCTCCCAAGAATCGAGTGCATATCCCGCTGCGTATGTCCCTTGAGGACAGGTGGGAGCCCCCTTCTCCGTTCTCATCGTAGAAAAAATCTTATCAATCGCGTTGAATGACCAATTAATTAAGTCCATTTTCCAAAAAGAAGTAGTGATTTTCAGGAGAAATGCAGAGAAGTGCTCTGTAGGCAGACAGGACAGAGAGCCTTGGGAAAAGCAGATAAGGGAGCTGAAGCAAAAGCGTCTGTACTCTCTGAGAGCCGGATAAGAAAAAGCGCTGCGGGACGGAGTGCACAACCCCCTCGCTCTCACGGAGGAGCGCTGCTAGATGGAGTGCGTGACACCCGGTAGTGGGTGTCGCACCAGGCTTAACTCATTTTCTGGGGGAAACCCTGGTTCTTGCATCTTTGTTTAGCACTTTGGTCAACTGTCATGCTGTTTTAAAATGTGCTCTATAAATAAACTTGGTATGGTATAGTATTATGTTTTTTTAATAGTAGCTCATAATTGTGAAAGCACAAATAGTATTTCATGGTTGTTAAACCATATAAACTTTAGTTTCCTATCACTATTTGGCAACCCAGAGAAACTGAAATTGCAGTAACCAAATGTGACCACAGGATGCCATTATTACTCAATTCTTACATAGTTTACCTTTAAAGGTTACTTAGAAGAAGCATTTCCAATTTCTATGTATTGTTGCCTTACAAGAAAGGGGAATTTGTGCCATCTGATGGCAAAACTCAAACAACACCGGTTTCCAACAGCATTTAGAAAAGGGAAGATGGGGGCTTGCTGCCCTCCAGTGTCTGAAAGCTGTTACTGCACCTGTGTTATTTTTAGAAAAAGAAAGAAGAAACAATTTTTTATATAGCACCTCTCAAGATAAAAATTACAAGGTGCTTCACAAGAACAAACACTAAAAATTTTAAAATAAAAAAGATTCAAATATGATTTTAAAATGTTATCAAATATGAAGAAGTAAGAAATAGTGATTAAAAATGTGAGGAAACAGAAAGAGAAGCTTTATAAGAATTCAGTGGATCCCGGGAAAGGCAGAATGGGTGGAAAGATCTGACCGAGGATAGGGTAGTGATGCAGAAACAACAAGAGGTCACACAAAAGCCAGCTTGACCAAATGAGTTTGGAGCTGCTTTTTAACACTGAGTCCATGGATCTTTTAATCATTTCATTTTTAGCCTGTTAGAAGGGAATAATTTGCCCTCCTTAACGTAATGAAGCCTTAAAAATTCTTAATCTTTCTTTTTGTGTTTTTGGGAATATTAATATTAAAGTGATTACGTGTATTTTCCCTGGCGATAGGGGGCAGTAGATACCTAAATCATTGCAAGCAAGTGGTATTTTTGTGTTTGAGTGAGACCTTACCAATGGATAGCCATTAGGGTCAAAAACCCCTGGGAACACAAAATAACAAGCACATCAGACTCCCTTTCATCACTGGCATCAAGTGAAGAGGTAAATGTGTAAAACAACGTTTATGAATGACAAAAGTTTTGTAACCGTTTGTTACCAATCAGTAAATGCATTTTGTTCTCACGGGCTCCTGTAGAAGGAAACATGGTGTCTAATAGGGCGTCGCCCAGAGACTTGCTCCCATGTATTGTAGACCAGGTTTTTAAGGTCATATGTTATGAAGCCGCCAATATTTTTCAGTAACTGGGCATCATTTAAATAATTTTTAACAACATTTTCATAGATATTTCCAGAAATTAAGGGTTAAAACTAGACATTGTCCCTTTAAAGAGGAGGAGTTGAAAGAGAAGAAGAAACTGGATTTGTACGGTTAGACCCAATCCCAATACTCGCACTTGCACCCTCGTGCCCTTCATCTGCGCGTTCCCAGCCAGGTGTGTGAGTGTGTAGGGTGTCCCGATTCTCAAGTGCGGAAGTTGACCACGCCCCCATTGCACCCTTAATCCGCACTTCACCCAAGTCTGCAGCGATGCGGACCTCAGACAAGAGCATTACCCACGAGTCATTGCTGCAGGAAAAAGGCTCAAGTTCCTTTTCTGAAAATATTTTCTAATCACTCAGGATGCACCGCACCGCTGAGCGCTTCTTGGAAAGTCACGCGATAGTCACAACATCACGCGGGACTTGAGAACAGGAAGCGGGAAGTGACTATTATTTATACGTGGTCAGACTTGCCGTCGTGTTTTGTAAGACTTTAATTCATTAACAGTGGGTAAGTACGCTACTTATTAAAACATTTTAAGATCTATTGTACTGTAAAGTTATCAAAACTGCGGTTAGGTTTGTGCTATAAAGCCGGCCACTATTAGAGACCAGCTTTTCTTTACCTGTGCTGACAGCGAGACCGGCTAATGGAGGAGACCCGGTCGGTAATGAAATAAAGGCCAATTTTAGAGGATTTACAGCATTAGAAGAGACTATTTTATCCTCCTAATCCCAATGAAGCCTCAAAAAATCTTAATCTTTCTTTTTGTCGTCTTCACAATGTTAATATTGAGGAGGAGGAGTAGAAGTGAAAGAAGAAACTGGATGTATACACTTAAAGGTGTTCCTCAGTAGAAACGCTTCCAGATTATTCTACACCGAGAGTAGAATCTGTTAAACGTAGATCGTGATGTGTAAAACCACAATTGGATTTGTGGTAACAACGCTTTTCTTTTCTTCTGGTAATTAAATTGTGTTCAATGTTTTAACAGATAAATGTTGAAATGTGTCCGGCTGGGCAGCTCTCTGGGTTCTCAGCACCTGGAAATCTCTGATGCGCCCCTGGTTAGTAGGTTGTATGTGTTCATGTGTAAGCACGAGGGTGGGAGTGTGTGACTGTCTATCTGTCAGGTAGGGTCTTGGACCCCTCTCCTCTCCTGGAACATCTTGTGGCACTACGACATCGTTGACCTATCCTAACCTTGCCACACTTCCTGCTGGTGGGCGGTGCCTCGGTCTGCCTGCGTATTTGCAACTGTCATGTCTGGGGCTTCATGTTTTGGCATCTCTTCCATCCTCGTGGGTCTTCGGGGGCAGGTTTGTGGCCCCTCACACTCGCTATTGGACACTCCTCCAGAGAAACCACAAGCACGTGTACACACACAAGTGCTCACAAGGTGCTCTCACAGGTAGACTCAGGTGTTTTGGGTACATTACCTTGGGCCAGGGTTGCATTAAATACATTATGATTTCTTATTGTGTGTTTTTCAGCGACATTTGTTAATGTTACACATCTCTGTGATGCTGGAACACTGATATTGTGGTTCTTTTGTATTTTTGTGTGTCCCATTTTTCTCTCTCGCTTTCTGGTGGTCTAGCGGATTCTTGTACATCCTTTATTGTTTATTTTTGTGAACTTTCCCTCCCCCTCTTCCTTTCCTCTCCCCCTTTCTCTTTGATTTTCATTTCTGTGTCCGCTGGGATTAAAAACAACCAAAATTGTTTGAAATAGAGTTTGGATTTGCAAGCGGGGCATTACAGCTCCACCTGTGAGAGTAAAACTGTACGGCTATTTCTGCACTCAGGCATCCATTCTGACAGCCGGACAGGAGACGGGAAAAAATAAAAATAAAGCACAAATGCTTTTGCTCTCAGAAATTCTGGACTTTGTACATTGCAGTTTGCAAAGTGTTGAAGCTGAGATCTTGTTGTTATGGTAACCCTTCAGCCTGCAGGTGAAAGACTTTCTGTCCAGCTCTCAGCTTTCAAAACATCCTAATTATACACACGGCAGCTGCTGCTGCCTGCAACATGCTGAACGTGTGTGTGTGTGTGTGTGTGTGTGTGTGTGTGTGTGTGTGTGTGTGTGTGTGTGTGTGTGTGTGTGTTTAAGGATATAGAAATAATACATGAAAATCCTACAACACCAAGCTGGTTATGTAACTTCATGCTACGTTTTCAGCAGAATTATGACATGAAAATAAAAACGCTGGAACACTTGATCTTTTGTTTATCCGTGTAATCCTTTTGAACTTGCATGACTCATATTTAGGAAGTCAATAAAAGACGGATCAAATCTGAAATCTGACGAGGTGTTCAGCTCATTAACGCTCTGTGAGTGTGAAGCAGGTTACATTTTAAAAGCTTTAGCTTACACAGGAAAGTATGCTTCTTTGTCCTATCCAGTTTCTTCCCTGCACATAATCTAGCATCGGGGGGGGGGGGGGGGGGGGGGGGGGAGTACTCTGTATATCAGCAGGTCTGATACAGGATTTTACACATGATGCTGGATAATGCCAGATTCATTAGAAGTCAGTCAATAATGAGTTCAGATGCATGGTTTTGTTTATGATTAAAAATGCTGGTGAACGTAATTTGCTGCACGATGCAAGACCTTACTGTCATTTTTCCTGAAATCTTTGCAGATTCTCGTGTAACATTTCACGGTGCACGTCTGTTTTCTTTGGGCACAAGTACAACAATGTGACTTCAGATTCTTCAGAGCCAGATTACTGGTCCCAACAAAAGCAACGTGAAGTTTAAAATCACTCGTTGCATGACACTAGGATGGGTTTGGTGGAACAACAACCCTCCAAAATTAAGAGGTGACTGTGTTTATCCGTGTTCCGTCATCGGGGAAATACTTTTCCTAGTTGATAAAATTAATTGAAGGAATGTAAATCAGAAGCACAAACAACAAAAGGCTGCTAATGCTAATGAATAAATGAAAAGCTTGAATTTCAGCATCATGAGCTACCTCTGGCGTGTCACTGCTGGATCCACAAACCCAACTACACCTTCTGTAAAAGGCTCATTCACACAAATGCAAAAAACAATAAAATTTTAGGTCTTAAAATTAAAAAATGTTAACAAATGATTTACTGATTCATTCTTGCAGGCACGCCTCAGCAGGTTTCATTAGTTATGGTTGTGGCTTGTGGAGACGAGACTGTGAGAAGGATTAAGTGCCGAGGTCTTTTTCAGGTCAGCGTGTTGCTTTCTTTTACAAAAGTGGGACAGAGACTGCAACAGGCACCTCTGGAAAATCACAAGACTGCCAGACTGATGACTGAGACTCAGCTCAGATTTCCAGGAACCATTGCAGCAACCATGTTTAGCCCAACGGCATCAAAACAGATGATCACGTTAGGAGCCGACAGTGCAAATAGTCAGATGAAGGTTCACTTCTGAGATCCTCTGTGCATAATCCAGTCACCAGTTGGCGCTCCACAGCAAAAAAAGAACAATGACATGAAAAAAGCAAAAAGAAGACTGGAGCACCCAAAGTGACAAAATATTTAACAAGTGCCAGCACACAAAAAGACTAACGTTTCAACACCCGCTTGTCATGTTCCTGGGCAGAGGTGAGTCACACCATCTCCTCTCACCGGACTCTGAGCTAATTCTCCACAGGTGAGGAGCAGGGGGAGCGGCAGCTGCAGGAGATTTCCCAATCAGGGACGCGGGTTCAAAAGGAGGATGGAGACACATCACTTTGCCGGATGATTGCACCAATTTAGGTAGCACCAGCCTTTGATTTTGATCTAGTTTGTTCGTGTTTTGACTCGTGTTTGACCATTGGATTTAAGACCTCGGATTGTGTTTTTGGATTACGATTTGGATTATCCCTCACGCCTGGTTTTTGTTCCACTCAGGATCCTCTCCTCATCTACTCACCTTCGCTGTCTTCGTTCCCTGTATAATACACATCGCGTCCCATCCTCCTTCGCTGCTCCTAATTGGCTTCCCTCTGCTACCTCGCCTCTCCTGGACTTCTCACCCTCTGCCCAGCGTCCTTCCTGGCTTCCTCTCATCTCATCAACCTGAGCACTTCAGAGACTCGAGCCGTATTGCTCATCCCACAGGACTTCCCTGTGCGGTTTCAGTTCCCGTTTTTATAATAAACATTTTACTTTACTGCTTTGGACTAAGTGTGTTGATTCTGCATGTCTTGGGTTAGGCACTTACCTCGAGTCATGACACCGCTTGTGTCTTCTTCAGATGTTACTGACAAAGACACGGTGTTCTTTTTGCTTTTTTCAAGTCAGATGAAGGTTATTTGTAGGTTTGAGAAATCTGTGACATGGATGAAGCTGTTTAAACAGTCAGCTCCTCCAAGATCTAAGATAATTTATGTCCACAAAGCAGGAGTGACTTTAAGGTTTTTGTTTTGTAATTTCACTGAAGGTCATGTTGGGGTCATCTTGGGTTCTGGAGAGCTGAACTTGTGCTTGAAAAGCAAATGAAAACACTTGTTTTACAGGAATAGACCAGAAAAACCTGGCGGTGCAGCGTTGGGCTGCAGTCACACCTGCACAAATAAATGAGACATAAGAGCTCTCAGAAGAAGGCTTGTACTGAACTCCCACCACAGAGTTCAGTACCAGGAGTTCACAAACAAACAGCAAAACAGGTGAAGTAACTCAAGTACGAACCAAATAGTTAATGGAAGTATTTCAAGTAACTGTTTGGTTGTTTGTCTGAAAGTTGTTGAAAAATGAAAAAAGTATCACAGCGACCAGCATCCTGGCATGCGATCCATGATGCAATGCTCCCTGTCTCAATTTGGCACTTCATTGCACACTTGTGTACCATGCACATGAAACCTTACAGACCATGTACTTATTTGTAACAAGCGATTACAAAACTTTTGCCATTCATAAATGTTGTTTTACACATTAAACCTCTTCACTCGTTGCCTGTGAGGAAGGAGAGTCTGACGTGCTTGTCATTTTGCTGGAGGTTGAGTGGATTATGTGGCAGACCAGGTGAAATGAGCCCTGTAACTGTAAACTGGCATTTGATGGATGCCTAACTTTAATAAACCACTCACATCATAATGGAGCCTAAGAACGAAACCAGTCCATGGCACAAACACCTGAATAAGAAACACACACACACAAAAATAAATCACTCACTCTAATATTTTGTTGGACTGCCTTTAGCTTTGATTATGGCAAGCATTAGCTGTGTTGTTTTTTTGATAAGCTTCGGCAACATCGTCAGATTTGTTTCCATCCAGTGTTGCATTAATGTCTCACCAAGATCTTGTATTGATGATGGTAGTCTGACCGCTGCACAAAGCCTTCTCCAGCACATCCCAAAAAGTCTCAATGGGGTGGAGGTCTGGACTCTGTGGTGGCCAATCCATGTGTGAAAATGATGTCTCATGCTCCCTGAACCACTCGTTCACTATTTGATCCTGATGAATCCTGGCATCGTCATCCTGGAATATGGCCCTGCCATCAGGAAGATGGAATAACCTGATCAATCAGGATATTCAGGTAGTCAGCTGACCTCATTCTTGGAGCACATCCTGTTGCTGAACCTAGACCTGACCACCTGCAGCAAGCCCAGATCATAGCACTGCCCCCACAGGCTTGTAGAGTAGGCACTAGGCATGATGGGTGCATCACTTCATCTGCCTCTCTTCTTACCCTGATGCACCATCACTCTGGAACTCATCAGACCACACAACCTTCTTCCAATTCTCCAGAGTGAAATATTTATGCTCCCTAGCAAACTGAAGGCTTTTCTTCCTGGTTTGCCTCACTGATTAGTGGTTTTCTCATGGCTACACAGCTGTTCAGTCCCAATCCCTTGAGTTCCCATTTCACGGTGTGTGAAAATGCTCTTACGTTCCCTATTAAACAGCCCTGAGTTCTACTACTGTTTTTCTTTTATTTGATTTCAACAAAGGTTTAGGTGCTGATCACGATCATTCAGGATATTTTTCCGGCCACATTTCTTCCTCGAAGGATAGTGGAGACCCATGGTCTCCACTATCCTTCCAGTGTTTAATAAAACGTGTTTAATAATGCTTTGGACAGTTCTTAACCCAATGTAATCTCCTTAGATATTTTCTCTGCTTGATGCCGATGATCTGACCCTTCTCACACAGACTAACATCTTTTCCACAACCACCAGATGAGTCTTTCCACATGTTTGTTTGAGAGTTGAGAACCAACTCATTGCACCAGTTGAGGTTAAATAACTTGTTGCCAGCTGAAAGACAATTATCCAATAGGAGGCTTGTACCTATTTCCTTAGTTAAATCCAGGTGGAGACTATTTTATTGGCCAGGCATTGTAAAATCAATTCCTAGTAAGTTATGGGATGTTAGTTATACATGGAAGCAGGGCCAGATTAACACTTTGTTGCACCCTGGGCAACAATATTAAAGGGCCCCATCATCACGACCCGAGGATCACCATAATGTGGTCACATACAGAATATTTTACTGTAATATGCAGTAAATATACTCAATACTTGAATGCCTGACATCACGTAACCCGCTCAGGGTAACCTTTGACCCACCTCGTGTGGACTGACCAATGAGGAGAGGGTCTTAACTTGAGGCCCTCTCCTCATTGGTCAGTCTGCATGAGACTGACTCTCAACTGACGTTCAGTCATAGGCAGCGAAGCGTCTCTGTGCAGCGCAAAAGCCCGGGTGGACAGTTTGTTTAACATAGGGTGACCACATTTCCATTTCCAAACAAGAGGACAGGGGATCTGTGCCTATGATGTCATACTATGGCAACGCCACACAAACCATGTTGGGACCCATTTTTTGTAAGAACTAAATTAATATCAGTTTCTGCCAGTTAAAGGGCTCTAAAACAATTCATATATAAATATTTAGCACATGTATTGCAAAATCTCATTTTTCTGCTTTAGTGCTGCAACAGGGTTTTATTAATAATAAATTATTATACCTTTTGTTTTACTACAGCATCAGGGTCATTTTGCCTTGGCCCCCAAAATGTCTTGAAACGGCCCTGGCTGTGTGATTGAGTTTTGAAGGTGATCTGAACTTTGTCTGATGTATGAATATGACATGTGTATAACTTGTTGTTTTATACAAGTAAAAGCGTGTAGTGGAGATAAATCTACCGACATTTTACTTTGTTTTCTTGTTTTTATTGAACTATTTTCCTGTCCTGTCTGTCTCTCATCTTCCTGCATCTCCTCTAAACTCTCCAGAAAAACTGCTGCCTGGATTCTTACTTTTTCACCTCATCAGTTACTTCTGAGCAGATCAAAGGGATCTCCTGACCGCAAAGCGGAGTGTGCGTTTCGATGCTGCGTCAGTGAGGTGAAATCACCGCAGCACAGGTGATGAGCTCCGCAGTGGCAGAGCGCTTCAGGCACAAATAAGACAGAAAATAGAGAACATGTGCGGACATGAACGATCGTGTGTTAATCGTGGAGCGCTGCACCAACGATCATCGCTACATGTGCTCTCTGCTCAAAAGAGTCCAAAAATGAGGTAGAAAACATTTTTTCCGGCTCCCCCATAATTCGATCCCTGCTCCTGGATGAAAAACCAGACATTTTCATCAATACAACCCCCCCCCCACCCCCCCCCCCCCACCCCCCCGACACCCGGACAGAGAGTGAAAAGTGGACATGTCCGGGGAAAAGAGGACGTATGGTCACCCTAGTTTAATATAAAGCGGGAGATTGCAGATACAGTATTTTGCTCGTGCTCTTGCTGCCCTGGGCCCTTTAGAGTTCGTGGGCCCTGGGCAATTGCCCAGTTGCCCATATGGTTAATCCGGCCTTGCATGGAAGACATCTAAAGGTGATGCTAATGGGTTGGTAATCACATGTCAAATCTAACATCATCAGAAAATCTGAGGTAGACATCACCAACACTCTTTACGGTAAACTCTGACGTCATTATTTCTGACACTTTCTAGATTTGAGTCACACCTGTACGTTTTAGTCGGGAACATGGAGGAAATTGGTGTTGGACCACTTTTTTTAGGAGGCTCCACTAATAAACCCGCTTTCCTCTCACCCTGATTGGCTCAGATTCTAAACATTCTGACTAATCACAAACGCCCATTTACCAAAATGTGGACAGAGCGATTCTGTAACTCAAAAATACCCTCTAAAAATCTATCGGTTCTGTATGTTGACCTTTTTTATTTTTCTGCAGGGAAAAACATCATGTGGTGTGTGAATGCATCAAAATGCCCGTTTCACTCGTGGTGTGTGAGTCCCTGAAGTCCCGTCCTTTGCCTATTATAATTGAATGTCTTCACATATGTAAACGTTTAGTTAATTCTCTTGGTGAACTAAAAGGAAAGCACCTGCAGTCAATCGTCTCTTAAAGAGAAAGTTAATTCCATTAACTTAGACTCAACAAATTCACTTGTCCAGTCCGTCTGGTAGCTTAAAGACCATCTATTTTTAGGCTCAGGGAGGGGGGAGGGAGATAAGGAAAACAGGACAAGGTTCAGTCTGTGTGCAACAGCAAGAAATCCTCACGAGGGTCATTAGTTTGCTCATTGAACTGAGCCTTTGTTCACCGGAGAAAGCACAATAATTACTAAACTTAAGTCAAACTTTGTATCTTCTGAGTTTCTGTGGAATAGATGTGAATAATCTTTGTTGTTGACTCGAATTATCTCTGGTAAAGTGTCAAATCATAGTTCATAGAAACTATATTTTCTAGACCTTCACACAGCTGTAAAGTACACATCACATAGATATTTACAGAAAAAACTGGTCGTAAACATTTTTCTAAACCTTATCCTGATTATAACGGGTCACTTTGAGTTTTCATGCAGGCTGAACATGAAAATAGTCTCCTACGCCTATCTGCTGCATTAGTTTCTGACAAAAACTAGATGATGAAACTCTAGGATTTGAGAAGCCGGACAGATCTACGTCACACTGTCACTTAACAGTGGACTCATGGTGTAGTCGATTAGTCCTTGGAACTCGGGAATCCCAACAACAGCATAACTTTTGTTACAAACACACTTACAGGAGGGCATTTAAAATCAATGTTACATTTAGCTCTTGCAACTCTAAGTTCAACATATTAAAAGTTTGGTTTTGAACATACAGTTTAATACGATGTTATTAAGGAAATTTACAAACAATGGCTACTTGGGAAGAGTGCATCGCCATATTGGAATCCTGACTTCTCCGAATACGGTAACCAGAACGCAGTTCACTTGAGTGTGGCGCCATTCCTAGTTCCGACTTCCGAGGTAAATTGAGCGCACCATCATCCACCTTGACTCACGACAGGGAAGGCTGTTGTTGGTTTAGCGTCCAGGAAACAGCAGAAAACGTCGTAACTAGTAGAAGTTAACCCTTAGCATTAGCAATCCCACCACACAGCAAAACTTCTCAGTACTTGTGTTATTTGTGGAGATAAAACATCAGTGTTGCAGAGAAAAGGAAGTTAGTGGCAGAGTGGTGCTGCTGTTATCCAGTCTGAGGAGAGATGTTCAAATATCAGGAAACAAGAGCTCAAATCCTGCCATCTGAAGCTACTTTCTCCTCCAGCGGACTTGTACTTCCTGATTCAGGAGCACTGAATGACTTCCAAGGTATTCATTCTTACTAGAGACCACTGCAAATGTATTGATTAAACAAGTATTTTTAACACTTCTGATTCAGTTACAATAAAGTTCAGACCTTCATGACGACGGTGGCACAGGAGTTAAGTGCTCGCCCTGTAATCGGAAGGTTGCAGGTTGGAGTCCCGCTCAGTCTGTCGCTGTCATTGTGTCCTTGGGCAAGACACTTAACCCACGTTGCCTGCTGGTGGTGGTCGGAGGGACCGGTGGCGCCAGTGCTCGGCAGCCTCCCCTCTGTCAGTGCGCCCCAGGGCAGCTGTGGCTACATCGTAGCTCATCACCACCAGTGTGTGAATGTGTGTGTGAATGGATGAATGACTGATTGTGTTGAAAAGCGCCTTGGGGGGTTCCAGGACTCTAGAACAGGGGTGTCAAATGTGCGGCCCGCGGGCCGATTCCGGCCCGCAAGTGGGTTAACTACGGCCCGCAAGATGGTTGTGTAAACTTTATTTTCATACTTTACAATGTAGAGTGAAAATAAACTCATCTTTGTGAGCAAGTTTTCTCTTTAATGAGTATAAATAAAACAAAGCTGCACTCAAGGCTCGCACAAGAACTTGAATCACATCCTGAAGTTGGCCGCCACTCAGGATGTGACTTCTGATATTGATGTGCTGGTGAAAGCTAAAAGATGTAAAGTAAAATGAGTCAAATATACTTTAAGTGCTGCACGAAACTGATCTAGCCATGTGATCTGTAAGCTCTTTGAATCACGAATGTTTTTTTATTTATTGATTTTTGATTTTTTTTCAAATTTTCAAGTACACTTCAGGTGTTGTACTATTTTGAATACACTGTCCAGCCTTGTTTTATATTCTTAGGTGTGTTCTTGCTGTGTCTTTGTAAATCCATGCTTTCGTTCTTTTTTAAACACAGAAGCTGCCCGCAGATAAACGGAGAAGGAAGTGACGCGCCACCATCAGCGTCAGCCTGAAGAAGCCGGCAGCTGTCGGCGAAACCGTAGCTACAAACAGGTAAACAAAACTGTTTCTGTGTTTAAAAAAGAACGAAAGCATGGACTTGTTTTATATTGATTGTATTAAAACAAGGAAAACAATCTGAAGTTGTTTTTAATTTACCGGTCCGGCCCACTTGGGACTAGATTTCCCTCAATGTGGCCCCTTAGCTAACATGAGTTTGACACCCCTGCTCTAGAAGGTGCTATATCAAATACAGACCATTTACCATTCTGAAGAAATAACCACAAGGTCAGAAATGCAAAGTGATGTAAAATGTTCTAAAATCCACTTTACCATTTTTTAAAATGAGAGTCGTTTTAGAACAACAAAAATCTGTGCTCTCGTTCTCTCTGTGACTCGTCGTGAGCTCATCTGTTTAGACAGAACTAATCCCTAATTCTACAAACATTTTGTACAAAGATCTTTCTACAACAGGTCTGAATGTAGCTGTTCCCCAGCCACGTCAACACTTTCCTTCAGGACGAGGAGCATTTATGTTACAGAACGTTATCATCTCTCCAAGAGCATTAACTCTGGTTGGTTCTGGTGGTGACGGGACCGTCAGGATCAGATGGCCGCTTAGCCTGATTAAACCAGCTCACAGCAGATCCTCAGCACACTGCTGAGGTGGAGCTACAAACAGGCACATGCAGCGTCGAGCAGGACAGAAGGACACAGAGTACAGCTGAATGTTGTAGAGGGACGAAGCTACAAGTTTCTGCAGGAAGACTTACCCTCCCTGCAGTTGGACTAAGGAACACCTCAGCCACTTGTTGCAGAAGGACTAAAACTATAAGCAGAATTTCATTGAGGCAGAGAGCCAAACATTTCTAAACCTATTTCTGCATTAGGAGAGACCCCTCAGGAACTAAAAGGTACAGTTTGTTTGACTCATTGCTGCCGTTTCATGAAAAAGCTGTAAAATTTGTTGTGGCACTTGAAGAATGTCGAAAAAAGCAAGAATTCCAATGAATGGTTTCTTGGATTGTTATTGAGCTTAAGAAACTCTCTGGAATGCCTCAAACACTAGATGTGCTGTACAATCACCCGCTGGTACAGATGGAGCTATAAATACAGCTGTGGGTGTTTAGGAGGTTTACTATAACAGGCAGTCAGCTGGTCGGATGTCAGCTCCCAAACGTCGGTGCAGCTGCTGAGGCTCCTGCAGAACTCTTGTGTTTTTGTGGACTTGCCTGAGCTGAAGCTGGGAGGTGAGAGAAGTGAGAGTTACATATTTAATTTGAGTGACCTGGATGATTCACTCTGCCGCCGCAGCTGTTTTGGGCACTAGAGGTAAGTGTGGGATTTATGCTGCTGTTGCACCTTGTTGTTAAGAGCAGCGTGCCTCAGTCTGACTTACGATGCTGCCACGCACTGGCACAACAGCTGGCCTTTGGGTCTTTTGGGTTCTGACCTCACCTCACATCAACGGAAAAGACTGTCTTGTCTTAAAACAAAATAAAGAGTCACGCTCTTACGTACACGGCGTGCTTTAGATGTCTTCTAGTTGTGTAGGACTGCTTCTCACACCGTCTCCTCACAAACAGATAAATATTGTTAGTTTTAACGTTTCTAATTGACTCTGTGTAAAACAAGCTACCTCCACCCTGACTATTATTAACAGCAAGAGATAAATTCCTAATTATAGATCGTCAACATCCTATTTTGGTTCTGGTAGAGTGTTATAGGTGAGGACAGATTACCTCCAGGGCTTTTCCTGGTAATATTTCTGAGTGTTTAGGGAGGGAGCAGAAGGTTACACCTAACTCAGAATGTTACCTTTCTATTGCTCAACGCCCCCCTCATTAGACAAAATAATCACCCTGTCTGGGTCGTTTAACAGGGAACGTTTATCAGCAGAACTGAACTTTTCTATCGTTTAATCTATTAGCAGTGCTGATTCGTCACATTTAGAGAGATTTTGTGTAATGAGAGACGGGTTGGAGATGTATGTAGATGATTTTTTTTATTTTATAAATCCAGGGAATTTAAAAGCATTTTATTCCTTATAAATTTGGCAGAAAATCACGTTTTCTTTTTCTTTACTCCTGATCAACAACCCAAGTAAATATAAACAAACAGCCCATTTAAGATGAAAACAGAAGAAATATCATCAATACTCAGAATCGGTGACAAATAGGAACAACAACGATGAAGGTAACAAAATGGAAGCTAAATGGAAATCAAAAACAATTTCCTTTTATAATAACTTTCTGTATTCAGACCCATTCGCTGGTTCCTTTCTGGTTCGATAAGTGATCCTCTTTCTGAGTTTTGTTTATTGTTGTTATTGTTAATTAACGAATTTAAGCCATTTGCATCAGTTACATGACTGGTTTGTTGCACAAGTCAAAGGCAGTCAAAAGGTCAGAGGAGGTACGACTTGTTTCTATAAAGATGCCACAATCCATCTCCTCGTTCAGGAGAGCCTTCTCTGGTGACGAACGTGCACGATGAGTCATTTATTTATGTATGGTTAAAAAGATTTGACATTCATGTGATCTAAACATCCAGGATTTATAGGATTTGCCTGCTACGTTGTAGCATATTTGAATAATAATGGTGATTTGTGTGTGTGTGTGTGTGTGTGTGTGTGCGTGCGTGCGTGCGTGCGTGCGTGCGTGTGTGTGTGTGTGTGTGTGTGTGTGTGTGTGTTTTGTATTCCAGAACTGCCGGTTGATGGAGTTTGTGAGGCAGAGTGGTGACTATTGCCACGCTCAACACCTTTAGACCGTGTTGGGATGACACAGCGGCATGCAGTCCTGGGGCCATGAACCTTGAAAGATCACGGCCCTTTGCCTTATGAACCCATCAGCTCATGGGGTCACAAGTGGAGCCTCAACACCCAAAGCTAGCTGGAGTGAAAAGGAGAGAGAAAAAGTCACCGAGGACAACAAAGAAAGACAGGATTAGTGACAATAGCAGAGGGGATCACTAAACTGACAGCGAGTAGCCACATGGACTATAGAAAACTGTCATCAGATAGGAGAGCAGCCCAGAGCCTCAGAGCTGGGGACACACAGTAAATAGTTTCTACGAGGAAGAAGTCTTGATTCATCTGAAGATCTGATCTTCAGCCAGACTGCTACAGCTGGAGCTAAAGGTGAGGATGCGCCGCATCTGGGATGATTGATGTGATGCTCCAACAAGAGGGTTCTGCAGGGGTGTTTGTAGATTTCACACCAGATTCAGAAAGCTCCCGTCTAAAGGCTCTTAGATTAGTCTAAGTGCTGCAAAGCGATGAATTGGATTTGCTGGGAAGAATGAAACTGTGACACGGAGATATGTCTCCTTTCTGATAAAATGCACACGTCTTGGCATTAAATAACAAAATTATTCAGAATAAGTGTTTCAATTCTAAGATACTTTATTAATCCCAGAGGGAAATTAGAGTTTCAGTACACACAATTCAGAGATCAGACATACATGGGCAAAGACACATGACAAGAATTGGTGACTGTGGTCATTCGCAACCCTGAGTCGCGCTACTTTAACAGAGATCAGAAGGTTACATGAGGATTGGTTCAGGTGAACAAGTCAGTTGTGTGTATTTAAAGTACATGTGAGCTTATGAGGTTTCAGTTTACGCTGTAAACGTAACAACGCTCAACCATCAGGATGCATTTGCTGCATTAAAATGGAAAAGAAGAAACATTTTTTTAGCTAATTTGATTAAGTCCGTTACTTTATGCAACAGTTTCAAGGTGTGGAACACTGAAAATCCGTTTTTTTTAGATCTGATTTCTGATTCTAATCCATCACTCTGAGATTTTCTTACAGGCTGAACATGAAATAGTCTCCTACACCTATCTCCTGCATTCTCTTCTGATAGAAAACAGACGTGAAACTCTAGGACCAGAAAATCCTGACAGATCTACGTCACACTGTCACAACATTCATGGACTCACCCATCCTGACTCACAGCGGGGAATACTGTTGTTGGTTTAGCGTCCAGGAAACAGCAGAGAACGTCTAGGCTAGTAGAAGATAACTGTTAGCATTAGCAACTCCACCACACAGCAAAGCTCCTCCAGGCTTGTGTGTTTTTGGGAGATAAAATATTCACGTTGAAACTCAGTGGTGGTCACGTTGCCGTTATCCAGTCTGAGTCCAAACATCAGGAAATAAGACTTTAAATTCTGTTTGAAGCTCAGCTGTGATGTGACTCACTTCTACATCCTGGAAATGATGCACAAGTGTGCTTTTTCCCCTGAGAACGACTTACAAGGCTTTCATTCCTACTAGAGATCACTGAAAACAGAACAAAACTATTGGGGAAACACACCAGTGTAACGGTGAATTATTTTAATACTTTATAAGAAACTATCTATATAATTTTGTGTTTCCCAAACAAACGTAGTAACTGCAGTGCTGTAGACAGATTTGTTACATTGTGGAATGTTTTCTCATGGATACTTGGTTTAATTGCATTTCTATTTGTTTTTGTTTTTGTTTAGGTTTTACATGATTTAAAGAGCAAGTCACCCCCTACAAGAAACTTACTTCACTCCCTCTTCATGTTTAAAAAATGCAACAAATGATGTTGCCTAGCAGACCGAGAGGGCGGAACCACTAACAAATACACACACACACACACACAGGCTCACAACGACATTGTGACATCATAATGTACCAGTTTACATCATAGCATACCTCTTAGCCAATAGCGGTGGCAGATTTAAATTCAAATACAGTGCAGAGTTTTTACCTGACAACGGCACAACACTGACAGTTTTAGGCAGAAATTTTAAATTTTAACTAAAATGCACTAAAGTGCAAAACTATTGACTACACGTGTCTGCAGCACGATTAGACACGCATTCATATAGTTTATCGGGAAAAAAGCTGATTTGGGGGTGACTTGCTCTTTAAAAGCTCCTTGTTTTGGCCTCATTAGCTGGTTAGCTTAGCGTTAAACAACAGGCAAAGAAAACAGATATATGAGTTTCATTTATGTTTTATGTAAATCTATAAATTTACATGAATTTAAAATGTTGTCAAAAACACATTTATACACTTTCATGTTGCATTATTGTAGTTTTAACTGCTAGCCTTTACGTTGCTAAGATTTTTATTTATTTAAAACATACGTGTTATTTACAGTCAGCTTACCGTAGAGTAGAGAAATCAACGGCAACTCTTGTTTAAAGAAACTAAGAAAAAAATACAAAAACAAAAAGACTTGAAATACAAACACATACTTTCAGTTCATGCTCCAGATCGTCACTGTGGACTAACAGATGCATGCTCTATCGTAAAGGCCATAGGTCTTCCTGCAGTGCTAAAGGTTAAACCAGCCAACATGAACCGTCCGGCTCCGGTGGAACTGTGCCACAAGAACATGAGATTCCTCATCACACACAACCCCACTGACAGCACACTCAACTCCTTCATAGAGGTATGTGGCTCGTGTGCACTCAGAGAGCAGCGCACAAACAAAGGATGCTTGCACTGAAAGGCACGCCTCTCATACTGATGAATCATAAATAAAGCCTTGATGTAAGTAGTGCAAACCTTCCTGTAACTGCCAGGACTTAAAGCGGTACGGCGTCACAACAGTGGTGAGAGTTTGTGACAGCACCTACGACAAAGCGCCTCTTGAGGAAGATGGCATCACGGTCTTGGTAAGATAGACAATCACACCCCAGAGTAAGCCCCCGGTTACGAAACACAAAGCACCAGTGCATGTGTTATCTTACAGGACTGGCCCTTTGATGACGGAGCGCCACCTCCCAGTAAGCTGGTTGACGATTGGTTGAATTTGCTGAAGAAGAAGTTTTTGGAGGATCCTGGAAGCTGTGTGGCTGTTCACTGTGTTGCTGGATTAGGAAGGTAAGGATTATTTAAAAACAAGATTATTTTTCTGAATGTGAAAAACTAAACAATAAAGTTGTGTAATTTTCTAAATAAAGCTTTTGAGATATGCACAACCAAAAATCTGCCTGTGCAACACCACACACAGGGCTCCTGTGCTGGTCGCTTTGGCTCTGATAGAAAGCGGGATGAAGTATGAAGATGCTATTCAGCTCATCCGACAGTACGTACTGCACAGTGTACCTTATTTATCATGTAAGAAGATCAATAACAAACAAGATAGTCAAGACAAATCTGTTTAGTTTGTCATCCAACAGCACAGGTGTGGACTCGAGTCACATGACTTGGACTCGAGTTACACTTGAGTCGTTATTTTAATGACCTCTGACTTGACTTGATAAAATCTATAAACACGTATGACTTGACTCGGACTTGAATGCCAACAACTTGCGACTTGAATCGGCTTGCATCTGTTGTCTTGATGATGACTTGAGCATATTTGATATTTTAGCACAAAAGTGGCCTGACTTGGACAAAAATCATGAATCATTCTTGGTTCTGGGTTTGATGTTATGCTAACTGCAGCAGCACTTTGTTTAGAGTCAGTTTCAGTTGCACTTCCTGCTTGTTTCAGCAAATAGATGAAACTTTAAGAAGCTTTATTTCTGGGATTTATTTATTATCATTGTCATTAAACTGAAGCTGGACAGATGACTTGATTATGACTTGAAAATTCTAAGTTAAGGACTTGGACTTGACTTGGACTTCCACATCATTGACTTTGTACTTGGTTGTCTTTCACTTGGACTTGACTTGAGACTTGACTGGAAAGACTTGTGACTTGGTCACACCTCTGTCTTACAGAATAGCAGCTAGTCATATCAGGTCCACATTTAAACAATTTGTTTGAATAAAAAAATCTGTTTGATAAAATTAGATTTAATAAATTATCAAACAAATTCAATAAGATGCTTGTTATTCAGATTTGCTCAATAAAAAGCAAACCAGCCGAATGCGTCTTCTGCATCCTGAACAAGCAGGGAGAAGGCTTATGGGATCATGTGAGTCAAGAAAAACAACATACGTGTAATATGTGTGTTCACTGCTAATTTAAAGCAACACATCAGAGCTTCTCAAGTCCATGAGAAACCGACGTCTTTCAACCAACCACATTTATCAAACTTCCTCTTAAAGTTCTTCTGTACATTTATTCTGTTTCATCTTGCATTTCTTGGTTCTCTTTAAACACACGATGTTCAAAAAGAACCAAGAAATGCAAGTTCCTCTTAAATTTAAATGATAATTATGTGTGTTTCAACTATGTCTGTGAGATGTATTAGCTTGTAAAAAGCTGAAACAACAACAAATCAGTCGTCGCATATATGACATTATCCTCCCCCAGCGTAGCTGCCACGTCTATAGTGGTTTTGTCCATGTTTAATGCTCCTGTTGTCCTGGAAGAAGGAGCCATTTTTCTTGTTTTTGTTCGTCTTCTTCTTCTGTCTGATCTGATGATGTTGATTTGTTGAGATGAGTTGAGATGTCTTCACACAACTCCTAAAGTAACTTGCTGCCCATCTAACATAAGTACTTGGCATCAAAATGTGTTTAAAATTCACGGTCATCATATGTGAAATCCATGGTGAACAAGGGGAACAGAAAACTTTTATTGGCCATGGACTCCCATTCATTTTCTTAGGCATTGGGGGACCCATGGTCCAGGTGGGCGTGATGCAGGCTCCCTAAAGAAGAGTTTCTTTCTTATGTGCTGATCAAAGTACCAAAAGGGTACTAGTTAATTGTCCAGTGATGCAATAAAAGGAGTTGAATTTCAGGATTCGTGGGACGACACTGGTTTCCACCATCTAATGCTTGTTTGTGCGTTTCAGGAAAAGACGTGGAGCCTTCAACAGTAAACAGCTCACCTACTTGGAGAAATATCGCTCAAAGCAGAGACTCCGATTCAAAGACTCTCACACATTCAAGAACAAGTGCTGCACCATGTGAAAACACACCCATTCAGACGGGTTTCACCCCAAAAAAGTCTCAGGAATCCCATCGCACAAACCGGCTGAAACACAAAGACGCCATCTCCTCACCTGCCAACCCGTTGTTACTGAAAACTAATCTGAGCTCATTTCTCTTTTTCTCTTGGGGGCTGTTTTTGTCTGTTAATGGTTGTTTTTTGCATAATAAATGCATGAAGAAAGGCAGAGAAAAGGGTGGAAATGGTCTGAGAATGAGATGTAAAATCAGATGTTGCTGCTTACAGGCAGCTCTAACAGAGCATTAAAATAATAACAATAATACATTAAAACTTCACTCACTCACTCACTCACTCACTCACTCACTCCCTCTCTCAAACCGTGTTGCAGGTCTGCTTTCAGATAATTTATTGCCATCAATTCTCTTTCACAGCTCAAAACTAAAATGACCTTAAAACGAAAAGTGAAAATGCCTTCTTCAGATTGGTGTTAAATTAACACCAGAGAGTGTATATTTGTGTCGACTCCATTGAGTTTAAACTGTCAAGTTGTGAAGTAGACGGTTTGCACAACAAATGTACCTGGGGCGGTACATCAGTGTGGAACAAAATCAACTCCAGCAGGTGAAATACCAACAATCATTCGGTCGAAACCAACAACACGGGGGTAAAGTTTAACATATTGGCATAAAAAGATAAACTGTTGAATCAGTTTTGAACTGAGACTAATTTTACTCTGAGGTATGTGAAGCATTATAAAGCTTATTCAAAAATATCTTGGTGAAGCTGATTTCACTTCTGTTTTTTTCTGAATGATGCATGTGCACATTTCCTTCTGACACAATTTATTTTGCTGAAAATAGGGCATGCACTTTTAATGTTTAAGTAGTTTGCACATCAAAATCCTCTCTGAATGTTTTCTTCAGTTTATCATAAACAAAAGTTTGAAAACAAACCTGTGACATAAATGTAAAAATGGAGTAAGGATTGAAGAGGATTAGTGTGAGTTTCCGTGTGTTTGTTCCTTTGTGTGTAGCCGATAGTGCTCAGATACTGTTGATAAATGGTCTGAGCTGAAATGTTTATGTAAAGAAAAAGAAAAAAAAGCTGTTTATGTAAGTAAAATAATGTACATTTCCAATTGTTTAATAAAAGTTTTATCAACATTCTTGAATTTTAATAGCTTTTCATTCCATTTTCACCATTCTCTATTGAGGAACATTTCTGTTTGATACCAAAATCCACATATAAAAATTTTAAAACAATATTTTAGGATATTGTTGCGTTAAAAGTTGTGGTTTCGTCCTCCCGTCGTTAGGCGGCGCTGTGGAAATGCTAATTTTTGCAACTTCCTGTGGCTAAGTAAACTCGCGTCGCAGATTCGACAGAACTGAGTCTTCGTCAAGTGAAATTCGACAAATATACACTGGTTTATTATACTTATAGCTTTATACTACGTTACTCGTGTTGAGTAATCGGTAAAATCTTCTGTGGCTTGTTTTATTTATAAGTTGGAGAGAATGGATGGAGAACAAACAGGTACGAGTTTTAGCCACTTTTAACACGAATGTGTTGTTCTTGTCCTCATTGTATATGGGGCTCAAATTCAAACTCCACTTATGTATCAAAATACCTTCATGCACAGATACTAAGAATCTTTATATTGTGTTTTCTTTTATACGCCGATTATAAAATTGTGCATTTTATTTCTAAATATCGAGGACAAACTTTACAGAAAGTGGTTTTGTGGTGTCTAATTATTATTATTATTATTATTATTATTATTATTATTTTGCATTAAATGGCTTTATTTGTGTCCGGTCTTTTCAGCTGGTTCTGTGTTCATGTGTCGGCTGTGCAACCTGTTTTCTCCCAGTCGCTCCCAGCTGCTGGCCCACTGCTCCCAACTGCATCCTCAGCAAACGTCTCCAGAAAAAATCATAATTGCATTGCAGCCACTTCCTGCAGAGGCTGCTGAGAAACTGCCTGGTAAAGTACCTGGATGTTGCAATGATACACAGAAAGAGTCATATTTGCACATCTATGCATTTCACAATTGACCTCAAAACCTTTAATTTAGTATCCAATTAAGACACAGTAGATGTGCTCCCATGTTATAGCAGCACTGGATTTGTGTGGAGTTGTTTAATACGTCATTAAATAGCAGTTTTTTTTATTTTCATTTAATGAAATTAAGAAAAGAAATCACATTTGTTAGCATGCCATATTTAAACAGTTTTATTTACGGCTTCTCAGAAAATCCAGTGAAGAGAAAACGAGGACGACCAAAAGGCTCCGTAAAGAAGAATAGAGTGAACTTGACAGAGGGAACAGCCGCCACCGCTCATTCTGAAGTAAAAGGAGACCTTGATGCTATTTCTCTCGAAGGTACAGTAGCACAGCTTACATTTTAATGGTTGTCCCACTGCCTTTGTAAAATCTGCTATTAGATGTTAACATTTCATTAAACAGCTTTAATTTCATAGATGAAGATCTGCCTTCAGCTGATTGTCGTCTATTGTACTCAGAACTTAGAGGGTGTATTTATTTAAGGGATGCATTCTGTTCATGTTTTGTTTTCCTATGTTTAGATGAAAACCTAGATGGGCTGGAGTGCCAGCGTTGCCATCGCTCGTTTGGAAACAGACGACAGATCCTCAAACACATCTGCTTGAGAGAAGAAAGTGATTTCATAGAAAATGGTGAGAAAAGACATATGAACATTTTCACAAAAACTCCAAAAGTCCCAATGTGTCCTTCAGAAGCTTCCAAAGATCAGGACCTGGAGATCAACAAAAGAAGTGTGTTAGAAAACAAATTCTTACGATAACTGAACATTATCAGATGTTTCTTGGTGCACAGAAACGATCGGGAAATTCACAAAAAACAAAATGTGTTCTTGCCAGTTAGAAGTTTAGGTAGTTCTGATTAACACGTGGCCATTTTCAGGGAGCGTCTGTAGCGGAGGAGATCTGGACTCTAACGGAGTAAATCTGAGCCATGTGCAAAACGACTCCACAAGACCAGAGAAAGGCAAGTTAAAAAATTGGGATTTGTGTGTTATAAGTAGTTCTAACAACAACTTTTTCCACATGTAGACATGGACAGCTTTAATTGCTCAAGAGGCAACAGAAGTCAAGTCTTCAACAAAGGAGGTCCAATGGCAAGCCAGAAAAAAACAGTCATCAGTGTCATTCTGGCTGAAGATAAAAAACTTCCTGGTTAGTTTAAAATACGTCTTTGTGAGTTTTATTTAAATGTTCCCCAAAAGCTGATGAAAAATATAAAATGTGTTGCTTTAAATTTAGCAGGTGTTTGTAAAATAGTTCCAGTTGAGAACGAGTTAGCTTCAGCGGATCCAGCTCAACATCAGGTAAGCTCAAAAACAGCAGGCTGTGGTTCAGACAATCTCCTTCCTTTGAGGTGGAGTTATCTCCACCTGCTTCATCAGAGGAAAGGGAGAGATGTTTTTGAGCCGCTATAGCGCCTTACAACAGCATCAAACTGACCAAAGTGCTTCACAGAAATGAAAACATTAAAAAACAATACACAACATAAACATGCATAAAACTAAAGCTGAAGAGCTAACACTAAAAAGACAAAAAAGACTCATGCTGAGTTAAAAGCCAAATTATAAAATAGGTTTTCAAAAGAGATTTAAAACCAGACCGTGAAGAGGCCGACCTAACGCTCAGAGGCAGCACATTCCAGAGCCTAGGGGCCGCTGCAGAGAGAGCCCTGTCACCTCTGAGCTTGCGTCTTGTTTTTGGGACGTCCAAGAGCGTCCTCTATCAGCCGGCCATGTAGCTCAGAGAGGTAATCTGGAGCAAGGCCATGCAAAGATTTAAAAGCCCATAAAAGCACCTTGTACTGGATTCTAAAACAAACAGGCAGCCAGTGCAGTGGGCCCAACACAGGAGTAACGTGCTCCATCTTTTTCGTCCCAGTGAGCAGCCGTGCAGCAGCATTCTGCACCAACTGAAGACGCGAGAGGCGGGATTGTGAAACGCCGAGGTACAAAGAATTACACTAATCAAGCCTTAATGTAATAAAAGCATGAATTACTTTTTCAAAATCCTTTTTTGACAGCAAGGTCTTTACTTTGGCGATCCTTCTTAATTGATAAAAACTAGATTTGGTCACTGTACTGACCTGCCTGTCCAAGCCAAGATCCCCGTCCAGCACAACACCCTGAGAAGTCACACTCAGTATCAAGAATGGGGCGAACTAACCGAAGACCACTGCACCCACCCAAAAACTACAGCCTCCATCTTTTTGTCATTAAAATGAAGGAAGATGGAGAACATCCATTGCCTAACCTCAACAAGACAGTCTAACAGAGACTGCAGAGTGCAGAGCGTGACTGTGGCCCTTCTTAAAAGGCACGTATACCTGGGGATCATCTGCATAGCAGTGAAAACGACACCCGTGTTATAGCTGACGTAGCGGTGCACCGATAACTTCATGGTTTATCGTTTTAGCTGATTCCATTGGCAGATCCAAATGTAATGTAATGCAGTTTTCACCTGAAGAGGGCGCCACAATAACAGTTTTAGGCTGAATGACATCCACTAAAATGCCAAATTAATGACTATTAGGCACTCAAGCATACAGATATAAGCAAAACGGTGATTTGAGGGTGAATTGCTCTTTTATGTTTTTTGTTGTTTAGAACAGTGGAAATGGAGATCCTGCCTGTGAAAAAGACACAACAGACCAGGAGCCAAGGTAGAAAAATCATTCATATAATAAGATTAATATTGTAATAAGCTTTGTTTTTGTGTCCGTGTGAAGTTGTTTCCACCTTTTCTCTGCTCCTAGCTCTAATCTAAACCCTACAGCAGCAGCAACCACCAAAGGGTTTCAGGAATATTCTATCAAGCAGAACTCCACCAGGTACTACATGAACCCTGTGTATATTTTATCTTTGCAAGTCAAGTTTAGCTTTTCAATGTAGCTTTTTTTGTGTTAGCATTAGTCCTTCTGTCCAGCACGGATCCAGTTACCAAGTGAATTCACTTTATTACAGCAGTAAAGTTGGTCATTTGGTTCTAGTAATGCCGTCCCCTCCTGTCCAGTAGTTTCCCTCAGAGTCAGCTGAAGGTCTTTGCCTGTGAGTTCTGTCAGAAGATCTTTAAGTTCAGACACTCGCTGGTGGCCCACCTGCGGACGCACACTCAGGAAAAACCCTTTCAGTGTCCGCACTGTGACTACGCTTCAGCCATCAAGGGTAAGTCCTAGCTCGGGATGAACGATGAACCTTTAAAATAAAACGTGGAGGTGATTTTTCTACTGTTTTTAATTAAAGCCAACCTGATTGTTCACCTGAGGAAGCACACAGGAGAGAAGTTCAGCTGTGAGCACTGTCCCTTCAGCTGTCTCAGCCCTGGACACCTGAAGGTGCTCTAAAATCTTCTCTGTTGTTTTTACATTAACACAAAGCGCTATAGTGAGTTTTTTTTTATTTACACAGTTTCCTGTCATTACACCTCAAGTGTTTCTGATTAAATGAAATGGAACGTGACGCTCCTCTGGCCTCTCAGGTTCACGTTGAGCGAGTCCATCTGAAGATAAAGCAGCCCTGCAGCTTCTGTGAGAAAAAGTACGCCGACGTGAAGAACCTACTGAAACACATGGAGAAACAGCACAACCTGAGCAACTCGGCTGTGAACCAGAACTACCAGCAGCTGAGGTCCAACTCTGCAGAAGGGTTCTCACAGACCGACTGTCAGAGGAACACAGTTGGGATCAAATGTGCTTTTAATGTTCGGGTTTGCTCAGTAATGTCACGTTTGAGTCAGATGTGTGAGGTGGAGCGTGCTTGAGCCTTTTAAGGGTTGGTTCTGGTCCTTTAGTCAAGAGCTCCAGAACATGAAGACATCTTCCCTTATTGAAGATCATTGTTTTGCGGTTCTGACAATGCAACCTGGCCCCTCGCTTTTCTACCAGTGGATGCTTTTCAGCATTGGTCTTTAGCATTGACACCTAATTGTCTAAGTTATAAAAGCTGACACCATGAAGGAGTTCAGCCATCTGTGAGTTGCCTCTCTTAGGCTTTTTCAAGTTGATTTTAGTGTCTTGGCCACACGTTGATGGTTTTCTGTGAACTGTGCACTTTTAGTGGTGCAGTTTAATGTGTAAAAATGGGCTCACAGCACACTTATTGTCTCCATAGCAACATGACTCAGTGACCAGGTTGGCGATGGGATTTTATAAGTCAGATTAGACGCGAGTCATTTCTGAGATCCAACCCTGACACGTGTCATTTTGTTCGTTTCATCCAGGTTGAAGACTCGCCAGGGCCTCAGGCAGCTCCTGTACCATTGCTCCACCTGCAACAGGCGCTTCAAGAATCAGTTGGAGCGGGAGCGCCACATGTTGGTCCACCTGCCTCAGCCCCCCTTCGCCTGCATGCTCTGTGATCACGCTGCCACCAAGATGGCGGCTCTCGCCGCCCACGTCAGAAAGCACCTCTTTCTGTACATCTGCTGCGTGTGTGACACAAATCTGGTCAGCTCACTGAGGCTGAGGAGTCACCTGGGGCAGTCTCACCCCGAGCTTGACCTAGAGCAGACCTTCATCGACTGCATCAACATCAGCTACTGTCTGGGTCCGCCTGAGAAAGGAGGAGGAGGGAGCGAGCAGGCCCAGGAGATGGAAGAGAACATGGACGGTGACGGCGGAGGGCGAGACGGGGATGGAAGTGTGAAAATAGATAAAGGGAGTGAACAAAAAGAAGAAATAAGAAACGAAGGTGCTGAGAGACGTTTTGAGGACAGGCGTGGTCAGACACCATCTGATGAGAAGTTAAATGAAACAACGGAAAGTTTTGCTGCTGCTGAAATACTTAAAGGAAACACGCAAATGTCTTTGTCAGCGGCTGGTTCTGAAATCCCACCACAGGAGAACACACACACCCCTTCACCAGGAAAAGCACGCTCCGATATCAACAGAGACACACCTTCGTCTTCAGGTCCTCTGGGAGAAAACGCTCAAACTCCTAATTCAGAAAAGGTAAACAACGATTGTTTTCATTAGCGTCCTGTTACTCCTACGTTCACGATCCTCTTTCCCATCAGAGCGCGTTCCAGCAGGTGCTTTCTTCCCTCCAAAAGACTCCACTGGATATGGAGACTTTCCAGAGACTCAGAAAAGTTTATGGAAACCTGGAATGCCATTACTGCGGTGAGATGATCCCACTTAGTTGGACTGATTTGTTTGTGTCTTTATGTTGTGTTTAGTTTCTGCTCTGCAGGGAGGCTGTTCTGGTACAAGGTTCATTTTAATATCCATGTGCGCACACACACCAAGGAGCACCTGTATCACTGTCTGACGTGCAGCTACTCCTCCGTCACCAAGAGCTCCTTAAAGCGACACCAGATCCAGAAGCACAGCGACCTGCTGCTGCCGTGCTCGGCTCCCGGCTGTAAATTCACCACCGCTGACAAGTACAAACTTCAGGCCCACGCGAGGACGCACCAGGACCAGGTAGAAGACCCAAGGACACTTCATAGGACACTTTAATAATGATTACTGTAAAATCCATTTAAATATGCAGTTATTTTAATATTATGATGGAAATACTTTAGGTATGTTTAATCCGTCCTCAGAAACATCCTTGGACTGAATTGTTTGACGTGATCTCTCTGACAGATCTGAGTTTTGCTGTTGACTGTTTCACGGTAGTTTTTGTGTTTACGTCACTGTCTGATGGTTGTTGACAGAGGAGCCGTGTGACCTGTCCCGTCTGTCACGGCAGTTATCTAGAACACAGATTAAAGCAGCACATGAAAACATCCCACCCAGGTAAAGGACACGTCGACGTTAATCCCTCTGTCCACCAAAGTGCACAAATCCACTGCTCGCCTTTTTAAACTCAGCCCGTTGGAAGCGTATGTTTGAATATGTTCCTGTTTATGCGGACCCTGTTGACAGATAAAGTTCCCGTGGGTAAAGGAGCGATGGTGCAGCGTACTGAGAAGTGTCCTCACTGTGACTCCTACTTCCTGAAGAACAGCAGTGACTTTCAGCAGCACATCTGGGCACATCAAGGTGCAGTCTCACACTTTGTTAAAACACAGACAAGCACCTCTCACAGCTCAAGCCTGCAGCATCCCTGATGACGCGGCTCTGAGTCGGTGTCTGAGCTGAGCCTCCATCTGTTCCAGCCTCCTGGCTTTCCTCCACAGAGAGAAAACACACTTAGATGCTGCAGAGAATAACTGATGGTTAAGTTGCAAATACAGTTGTCCAAGTCCACCTAATGACTATTGACAGAAGTGGCTTTGTCTCCTTTTGTTCTCATCTGCAAAGTGTCTGAAACTCCTAACGCATCTTAGCTGGTGCAGCTGTTTGTTTAGTTTTTAACGCCTCATGTTCTCCTTCCACTGATGTAGTCTCTCACCCTCCAGCTGTCCCCATGCTGAGATGCTGCAGCCTGCACGCAGATACCAGGAGTGTGTGGACAGGGTATCCGCAGGTCCTTAAAAAGTCTTAAATTTGCTTTTCCAAATTTAAGGTCTTAAAAATCCTTAAAAATTACAAATAATCCTTAAATGCAGTTTCCAAAGGTCTTAAATGACCACAAAGACCCAATAAAAAAGATTCTTTAATTTCTATAAAATTTTCATGAATGTCTAGTTAGTGTTCAGCTTTTGTTGTGTATGACGTTGGCGTAAGCGAAACCGTACACATTCAGTTGGATGTGAAAGGGGGCTATTTTTAGATGAGCACATTAGCTGGTTAAGCTAGTGGGCGCTTGCGCCATGGGGAATTGCAAGTTTAATGATAACTGGATGGCTAATCCCACATTTGCGACGTGGTTAGCACCGGTTCCAGGCAATAGCTGGAAATTATAGCTTAAATTTGGTCAAAGTGGCCTTAAAAAGGTCTTAAAAAGTCTTAAATTTGGCTCCCTTAAACCTGCAGATACCCTGGTGGAGGTCTCAGAGAGAGGACACAGCGTCTTTATAACATTTTCAAATAAATCCCATGGAATCCTTGTCCAAAACAGTGATAAATATAATATGTATTTTCTTTTGAAAAATCCTGCCTATCATCGCAAATAACATCTTTACAGTTGTGTTTCCTAATCTGCAGCGCTGCTGTTTGATCTTGGTGTTATACGTGCGTGCAGGTTTGAAGCCGTTCGTCTGCAGTGTGTGTGACTACTCCAGCCGCAGCCGGAGCAACCTGAAAGCTCACATGAACCGGCACAACATGGAGAAACATCACCTGTGCGACCTGTGTGGGAAAAAGTTCAAATCAAAATTCACCCTGAAGAGCCACAGGCTGAGCCACACAGAGGAAGGTACACCGAATACCGCACGAAGTGTCCAAAACAAGTAGTCGCATGTAAAGGTACTTATTATGTGTTTGTCCAGGAAAGAGGTTTCAGTGTTCGGAGTGTCACTTCACGTCAGTGTTTAAACCTCTCTTGCTCAGACACATGGAGCAACACGCTAAATTTAAGGTAGGAATTAGCGTTCACACGCGTCATGCTCCAAGAAAACCTGTTTAATCAAGAGAAGAAATTACCATTTAAATAGAAGTTCAGATGGTCAGATGTTACTAATTCAGTCCACCATAAGTATAGTAATATACGTGTGTGTGTGTGTGTGTGTGTGTGTAGCCATTTCGGTGCACTCACTGCCACTACTCCTGTAACTTTGCTGGTGCTCTGAAGCGACACTACAACATGAAGCACCCTGATGAGATGTATGAGAACGCCGGACCCGGACTTCCAAACGCAGATGCTCTGAAACAGCAAGGTGCGAAGTCTCCTCTCCTTCTGCAGATCCACCACGTTCTTTAAACACAGATGTCAAACTCCAGTCCTCTAGAGCCACTCTCCTACATGTTTTAGTGTTTTCCCCGCTTCATCACGCCTGATTTCAATCAGCAGGCGATTAGTTGGCGCCTGGAGAGCTCGATGAGCTGCTGCACCAGTGATTCTCCTGTGCTGGAACAGGGAAACAACAAAAAGATGCAGGATAGCGGCCCTCAAGGACTATTTTACTGCATCGGGGTAGAGTGTTTGGCAGCCATTAGGGATGTTTGATATTGAGTTTTTAATGATATTGTCTGTCTACCTTTTAATTTCCCATCCTGATAAAAATTGATACCATATGTGCCTTCGCCAGAGGAAAACTAAATCATTTCAGGTAGCTAACGTCACATATCTCCTATCATGTCTACTGAAAGCTACAATCCAGAGGTTTCTCTCTGTCAGGAATTATGATTTCTCTAGAAATCCCTAAAAGCTGTATCCTGTACTGTGATGGAATGAAATATGGGCAATGTGTCTTTTTTTTTTTTTTTTTTTTGATTCAAACGGTGTTTTACTTTTTGGGACTCTGGTTGTTAGTCCTAAAGTTGGTGTGGTAGCAGCCGGTTGTTTCTCCTTCTCTCATATTATTAAACGGAGAACTTCTCACACCATTGGTGTTTTGTTACTAAATACGCAAGTGTCTGATGAATGGAGGACCCAGGGTAGTGTGACGGTTCAAGGAGACCAACAACCGGATGGTCTAATGGTTGGTTTTAGACAAATGCAAGAAGACCCCGTTATTAAATTATCTCCATGATATATTTATAGCTATACTATGTCAGAAAATTGTTAAAGCTATAATCTGGAGTATGTTTTATCCAACGCCACCATCTAGTGGCTGACAAATGCATCACATTATCACGTCCGTATTTACGATAAAAAGCAACGCCTATGGTTTGTGAACATTCACCCCTAGCCAGCAAACACAGTTATTCTGCATCTGTCTAGATCTGTCCTCAAAAGCTGTGCACGCTCTGTGATTGACCGTCGTACTGAGCGGACGTCCAGTGCTGTCGGTTAATGCTGAACGGGGTTCAGTTCAGATTGCATGGGGCTCTACGGGACGGGCGGGTTTAGCATGAAAGGAAATAAAGAGTTTTGCCTACATTATTTCACAGTACAGGAATAGACAATTACTTTTATGGATTTTTCAAAAGAAAATCATGCATGATTCCTGAAAGGGGGGAAATTCCAGGTATAAAAAATGTTTTGTTTTCCAAATTTGCCATTGTGACTTTAAAACCAGAAACTGATCATTTCTGATTTTACATTTTAATGCCAATAACGGCCGATCTTAACGGTTGGTAGATAATGTCGGACATCTCTGGTTTAAATACACTGTGAACCCTGGTACCTGCAGGTGTAAATACAGTGTAAGTCCGGGGTATTCAGTTCTGGGCCTGGAGGGCCGGCATCCAGCACATTTTAGTTGTAACTCTGTTTCAGCACATCTGATTTCAGTCAGCACGTGATTAACGGGCTTCTGCCGAGCCTGATGAGCTGCTGCACAGGTGATTCAGCCACTGAATCTAGTGTGTTGAAGCAGAGAAACCACTAAAACATGCTGGATACTGCCGCACCCCCCCCCCCCCCCAGCCCCCCCCCCCCCCGGTGGAAGTATTGTGGTACTTTCAGGGACCGGGCATTATTATGTATACTACTGAATATTTATATCAGATATCTGTTTTTTTGTTCAGCTTAACCCAATGTAGCTTGTGTGTGTGTTCAGGTGGTAGGAAGTGTCCTGAGTGTGAGTTTGTTTATGGAACGAAGTGGGAGTTAAACCGTCACCTGAAGACCAGACACAATCAGAAAGCCGTGCAAGGCACATGGGAGGTAAACAGTGTTTTTATTGCACTTTTTGTAAAATCAAAGCTGGTTCAGGTGAAATGAACATCTACCTGTGCAGGTTGCTGTGGAAACAGAAGCCCAGTATGTAACTGTAGAGAACGAAGAGCAGCTGACAGAAGCAACTGTGGCCGTCCTGGAGGACAACGGTAACCATAGCAACATTAGATAAATGCGTGTTAAACTGCGTGTAGCTTTTTCTGTTTATTGTTGGTATTGTGTGCACAATGATATGGTGGTTTAATTAAAACGTGAACACGTCTTTGTGTTCAGTAAATACCCAACAGATCTCTGAGCTCAGCTCGGAGACCCAAGATGCAGTTGCCTCCATGGTTGCCATGGCTCCCGGTACTGTGACTGTTGTCCAACAGGTAAAGGGCATTACATCACTTTGTTGTCAGGAACTGAGGCGTGGTTGACAGCAACACTGATGATGATGTGTGGCTGAAGTTGCAGGTGGCTGAGGAGCAGGAAGTTGGTGAATGTAGTGATCAGCTGATGGTGGTGAACACAGAAGAGAGTCTGGACGGTAACCAGCTGATGGTGGTGGAGGACGCAGGCGGCCTGGAGGCCCTGACAGTCCTCACTCAGGGAGAAGACACACACCACTACATCGTCTACATCCAGGAGCAAACTGTAGAGATCAACTAGAAATGTTCAGACTTCATCTTCATGGCACCAAAAATATTAAAATGAAGATGTGAAAAAATATTTGCTTGTCATCATCATTTAAATGGACTTTTAAGTCAGTAATAAAAAAAAAACAATGTTTTGTTTAAACTGACCAAAGTAAGAATACCCAGAGTATCAATGTGAATGTGAAAATACTGAATTTAGTCTTTTTGTGTTAAGAACCAATTATAACCTGGACAAGAAACCCTGAGCTGTGTTAAAGCCTCTGAAACCTTTCACTCAAGACACCTCAGGCCACCAGGACAAGTCTAGCAGTCTTCTGCAGGGTTTGTCGGAGAGGGACAAGGAACTTTAGACCAGCTGGTAGAGAAATGTGGCATCTCGAAAGTAAACCAAACTAAGGAGATGAGGAGAAGAGGTGCAAGAATATAAACAACTTGGTGTTCACCTGGACTGGAGACACGACACTGAGGCTGTTAAGGAACAGAGCAGACAGGACTTCTCGTGGAGCCTATGATCCTTCAGTGTTTGCAGCAGGATTTTATGGAGTTGAGCACGCACGTATGAATGGCTTACAGCAGCTGTAGCATTAAAGGTGTGGTTTAGTCGTTTGTTCAATACATTTGCAGTGTTCTCTAGTGTAAATCAATGCCTTATGAGTCATAAAAAGCTATGATGCTCTTGTTCTCAGATCCAGAAGTTTGCTGGTGGAGGGGTGGGCTTAAAACAGCAGGATTGCTCATTATTATTATTAAATACATGCACACACAGCTTCTGATTGGCCAACAGAACAGGTTCAGCCATGCTGCAAAGTCACTATCACCAAGGCCCAATCTCAGTACTCGCTCTGCAGTCTTCAGCAAAGTGCACTTGGAGAAAGTGCGCAGTAGGGTTTGAGTGCGTGGTACACAAGTGTGCAAATAATTGCCGAATTGAGACGGGGAGCATTGCGTCATCGATTGCAACGCATGCCGGGATGCTGGTCGCTGTGAAACTTTTTTTCAAAAGCCTTTATTAACAACTTTCAAACAAACAATAAAGCAATTATTTGAAATAAATTTAACTTCATTGCTGCTTTAAAACATTCAGAGCATCAAATAATCGTCCTGAGATGAACTAATTTCATTAGAAAATACATATTTTCAGAAAAGGAACTTGAGCCTTTTCTCCTGCAGCAATGACTTGTTGGTGATTCCCTTGCCCGAGGTCTGCATCGCTGCGGACTTGGGTGAAGTGCAGATTGAGGGTGCAATGGGGGCGTGGTCAACTTCCGTACTTAAGAATCAGGACACCCTACGCACTCGCACCCCTGGCTGGGAACGCACAAGTGAAGGGCACAAGTGTGCAAGTGCGAGTAGTGGAATTGGGCCCAAGACACTCCAGTTTCTCCTCGCTGCAAAAATAAAAAGCCTTCCTGTGGGTGGACACGTGCTAAGATGGATGAGGCAATGAATGCAAATTCACAGTGAGATGTAGATATGTAAAGATTTTCAAATCCTAGCATTTCACCCTCTTTTTCATTCAGAAGCTAACACAGGAGATAGGTGTAGGAGACTATTTTCATGTTCAGCCTGCATGAAAAACTCAGAGTGACCCGTTATAATCAGACAATAATCATTAGAAAAAGTTTTTCCAGTGCTCCTCACCTTTAAACAAATATTTTGACATTCTTGTTTTTGGTCTGGTGGAGGGCGCCCACACATGCATGGCCATGCAGGAAGACCTAATGCTGCCACCAACTGCTCCACCACGCAGCCCTATTGAAAAGTGTTGTGTCGTTTAATTATAGATTAAACAGAAACTTTTCTGTTATCCTTGTAACGTGATTGAAGTGGTTACTTATACTGGATGATCAAAAAGATGTGATATTCCATATAAACATCAATCTTATTGGTCTTTGAATATTTGATTTAATATGAACTTAGGTTCTTTGGACTACTAGGGAAACACACACTTCATGTTAATTCATAGATAGTCAAGAATATTGTTTCTTCTTAATAGTTTATTTCTAAACTAATGGTTATACGTGATAAATTATGACAGTGATGCTTTAACCCTCCCACTGTCCTAATGGGTGTGACCCTGCCAGGAAAGTTGACCATTGAGCAGGATTGATGGTTTATCCTTTGGGTTCATGTTGGGAGTGAGCACCACCTCACCCCTGCCATGTGGACCTCAAGGGATAAACCATCATTCCTGCTCAATGGTCAACTTTCCTCGCGGGGTCACCCATAAAGACAGTGGGAGGGTTAACAATGTTATTGAGGCAATGAATGGGATGATGGATGTAAGCTTAGATGTTATGTAGCAAAACCTTATTAAGTATCAGAAATGTGTGACGTCTGGGTTGTAAAATCAGTCTGACTGTTTGGTTTAGCAAGCTATCAATTATTCATGAAAACCATCTGATGCCATTGTGCAGATCTACGATGCACGTGTTTGAGGCTCTCGGTGGTCGGAGGAAAGGCAGCCAGGTTGGTGACGTCACCGGATGGACAAGCTCCTGGAATCTCAAAGGGCGTAGTTCCCTTTGAATTAAACTATCACCAGCCGTAAGATGCTACCGGGGTCTGTTAGACGTTCCATGTCTGATGAGTTGTTGCATCTGATGCCGCTTGTAATCTTTGCATGGCCTTGCTCCAGATTAACTCCCTGAGCTACTGGTTTTTTACTTCCCTGCACGGTCTCTGAGGTCGGCTGATAGGATGCTCCTGGAAGTCCCAAAAACAAAATGCAAGCTCAGAGAAGACGGGGCTTTCTCTGCAGTGGTCCCTAGACACTGGGCTGCTCTGCCGTTAAGCATTAGGCCGGCCTTTTCACCGTCTGGTTTTGAATCTCTTTTGAAAACCTGTTTTTATGATTAGGCTTTTAACTCAGCATGAGAGACTTTTTAGTGTTTTCAGTGTTAGTTCTTCAGCTTTAGTTTTTATGTTGTGTATTGTTTTTAATGTTTTTCATTTCTGTGAAGCACTTTGGTCGGTTTTATACCGTTGTAAGGAGCCATACAAATAAAGCTGCCTTGCCTTGCCAAGTGTTGCAAAGAGGCTTTGGCCTTGGGGTCGAGAAAGGATTGCTTCCTGTGCTTTGCTTACCCCATTGGCCAAACTGGGATGCTGGCTTAGAACTGGTTAGTTCAGGAAGTGAACTTTATTTTATAAACTGTTGTTTACACATTTACACCAATTAGAATTTGACAAGTTTAAAGGGCGTTACCAAAATACGTCAGACATCCCTCCTTCACTCACTCACTTAGAGAAGTTATATCTTAATGTGAAGTAAAATCTTATTAAACATTACTGTGATTAATTAGTCATTGCTGTGAAGCGTTCAACATTACTAATCTCTTAGGATTTAACTATATTGTGCAGCCATTCAACAAAATATGATTATATAAATGTATACAATTATAAAGTAATTTCATGAGTCAGGAAAGATAAACTTTATTCAAAGGGGAACAAGTCCTGCATCTTTTGCAGCCTTGATGACTTGTGACATACCACAGGATAAGTTGAGAATGTTGGGTCAAGTTCCATCCATCCATCCATTTTGTGAACCCGCTTCGTCCACGCAGGGTCGGGGGGGGGGGGGGGGGGGGGGGGGGGGGGGGGCTGGTGCCTATCTCCAGCGGTCAACGGGCAATCAGGCGGGGTACATCCTGGACAGAGAGTCAGTCCATCGCAGGGCAACACAGAGTCACACAGAACAAACAACCATGCACACACACTCACACCTAAGGACAATTTGGACAGACCAATCAACCTAACAGTCATGTTTTTGGACTGTGGGAGGAAGCCGGAGTACCCGGAGAGAACCCACACATGCACAGGGAGAACATGCAAACTCCATGCAGAAAGATCCCAGGCTGGGAAGCGAACCCAGGACCTTCTAACTACAAGGCAACAGCCACTGCGCAGCCCCTGTTGGGTCAAGTTCACAGCTGGAACTATAAACAATTTGATTTCTTAGGCAGAAGCTTCAGAACTATGATAGAGGCAGAGTGAGGAGCCAAAATTAAAGGAATTAAATAAATAAGAACACACAAAAATATTACAAATGGAGTTTTGTTAATTACTTATTCGTGTTAACTCGAAATGCCAAGAAAAGTAACAGCACACCTCCTCAGACTGAGTTGGTACTGAGGGTGTACGTTTCTGTTCGGGTTGCTTGAGGTTTGATGGAAGAATAATAAATAAATAAAGAGAAATGGAGAATATTGGGGTGCCTGCATGCCCATTACCTCTGCAGAAAAAAATTACAGCAACAACAACACGTCACCAATTAGGGATGGACAATATATCGGCATCAATATCGGTGTCGGCCGATGTTAGTCATTTTAACATATCGGTATTGGCTTGATAAATAAAACCGGTCCGATATTAATTACCGACATTTTTTCCATCTCATCTCAATTTGTTTGCCTATTTCAGAGGGGGAGGGGGGTTATGTGTAATTGTTTAGTCATGTGACAGTGAATGAAGTCATCTCAGAACTGTAAAAGTGTGTGTTGTGTGTACATAATATCATAATAAATTCAGCTTTAATCATTTTCATTCTATCCAAAATCTGCTGATTTTAGAAGCATTAATGAAATTAATTGGTATCGGCAAATATCGGTTATTGGCCATAACAGTGATCTCAATATCGGATATCGGTATCGGCCCAAAAATTTCATATTGGTGCATCACTAACAACAACAAAAAATGGAAGTATGGATGCACCACTGAAAAGAAACAAAAAACAGAAATGAATTCTGACTTTTTCTCAGATTTATGACTTTAATTTTAGGATTCTGACTAATAATTCTGAGGAAAAAGGTTAGAATTATCTTTCTGTTTCCTTTTTTCTTCCTGTGGCTATAATCCTCTTCTGTACGATTATGCAACTCTGAATAACAATGCTACTTCGTGAAAATGGAGTAGCTTGTCCAACGAAAACTTGATATTATTTTCGCTTTGATGACTCTGCTCCATGCCCCGCTTTCTTCGTGAGGCTGGTGTTGGTCATAGATCTGTATATACATGTCAATAGGTGTTGGAGACCTGTTCTGCAGTTCAGGATTATTCCAATAGGGGGCGGTG